TAAGGAATTTTTGTGTCACTTTGTGTCACTATTTTTTTTTTAAATTACATTAAATATCATCTAAAATTTATATTCATCTATTTCCTGCAAATTTTACAATATTACATTATTTAGTCTTTTTCATGTACATTATAATATAGCATTTCACATACTCAATAACTTGTATGTTGTGACATAAAGATAATAACTTTCCACTTAGGTTTTTACACAATACTTGTTTGACACTTGTACGTTGTCTTTTACATCATCTGTACACACATACAATACTCTGTTTTATAATTTTGTTTAATTTATTTTTCTTCTTATTTCAATTTCTTGTCTAATTGATTTTTTTTATTTTACTAATTTTTTATTATTTGATAAAAATAGTTATTGTATTTTAACTTACATATGTTTTATGTTAATTTGCATATATTTTTTACATGTTTTTATATATTTTTATTACATTATTATAACCATACATGTATTGACAGATAAATAAACATAATATAGAAGCAAATAAATGGATGTACAGAAAGTCTAGTGTCAGAATTTCACTTCATTATGAGTTGGAAAAGAAAAAATAGTTCTTTCAATCAATTTAAGCAAATTATTTAAAGAATTAATTTTCCTCTATCTGAAAGACAATTTTTACTCCATCAAAGTTCTTAAAGTAAAATAATGTCTATTATGTATTTATATACAGACTTGTTTAATTTAAACAAAGATGTTTTAACTAATTATTAAATTATATATACTACATATGTCCATTATACAGTTTGATTTAAACTTAATCAAAACATAAAAATTTAAATTAATGAAATAAAGTAATAATTTCAGACAAATGACTAAAAATATATACAGTACTTGTGTCAGATTCTATTTCTGATACAAAATTTTATCATTAAAACAAAAAAAAAAATCATTTTTCTTCTAATTATAAATTATAGCAGTTGTTCAATTTCACTTTATTTTGTTACATTTAAATTGCTGAAATATTTTTATTTTGAATTCCAATGGCATTAGTTTTATAAAAATGACAAAGCAGCTGAAATTAAAGTTTGTAAATTCAGCACAATTGTTTGCTCATACCAAATTGTTTTTATGTTATTTCTATTCTTTCTATAAATTAATATATATTAGCATTAATAGCATTACAACATTAACTAACAAAATTCTGTACTATCTTTTTGTTGTTTTGTGTAATATAATTATTTAAAATATATTTCTGTAAAGAAAATTGCTACACTTTCAACAAAACTTAGATATTCTGAGGTATGTATTTGTCTTATTTATTAGTAAGTCGTTCCCAGAATAAAATGAAAATATTGACAAAATGAAAAAAATCAATATGAAAATCTTAAATAAGGAGTATTTAAAAGTTTTTGTTTCTCTTGATTTAAAAGTCTCTATACTAAAACAAGTAGGTGAAGGAATGCACTTATATGTGTGCATGCACAACACTAGACAAGTAATATACATTTGCTAAGTATGGAGTGACCACAATATTTACATAAATCATATTCTGTAACTTCAAAGTAACTGCAATAAAGCAAACTCTTTGCATATATATATTTGAGCTTATGCAGCATCCTTTATATCACTAATGTTTGTATAAAATATTTTCAGTTAGCAAAAAATATTTATCATAAAAAATTCTACTTTGTTTCCTTTCTGAAGTATTAATTTCTATATTCTAATTTATATTTATCTATTATTTGTAACATCATTTTAATTACTTGTTCTATGTAATTAGCTTATCCTCTACTGCCTAAGAAATTTTTAAAAATAACTAAGAATAGTTGATTAAAAATTTTTTAAATAAAACTAAAATATATAATAATTAAAATATTTCAATGAAATTTGCAGTAATTAAAAAAGTTAATAATCATTTAAAATTTTTGGAAACTATAAAAAAATTTAAAAATTGACCAAAGAATATTGTTCATAAAGCACCAAAATATAAAAATTTACATTAGACAATTTTTTACATCTTATTTGCAAACACAGGTTATCCAAAGAGTTACTAGGCAATGAGAAACTTGTAATGAAAGTTATATGTACGGTCTTGCATATGAGACCTGTTAGTTGTACTGTACATGGTGCATTTCCACTTTGTGATAGATGGCAATGCTGCTCACTCACTGATGTTCTGGTTTATAAAAGACTTCTTTGCTGATTGCATAATGTCCCGTGGAATCTGGCCCATTAGGTCTCTGGACCTCACTCTCCCAAATTTGAACTTCTGGGAGACATTTCTGGCATTTGCCATAGGAGAAACTGCAATATCATATGTAAAACTTCACTTTTTTAATTAAAACTTTACTTCAATTTTTTCCACTGCACAGTAACTTTTCAGAATCCTGTTCAACAAATTGCAGTTGTTTTATCACAGTTTAGATTAATATATGCTTAAAAATCTTTAGTAGTTAGAAATCTACAATAGATTTCTAACTACTAATTAAGAAATCTTTATATAACTCAATTCCTATTAAAGACTAAAATTATCCAAAAATATAACTAAAACTTCACAAAATAGTAAATGAATATAACATTTTCTGCAAATCATTTTTTATACACATAATTATTGTATATTGTATTATTGTACATTATTATTTTTTTGAAGTGCATATTAGTAATTATATTTAATATACTTATTCACAAAAAAATTTTAAATATAATATATATATCCAAAACTTAAGGACAAATACAATTGCTAGAATGATGAGCTTGGTGATGACCTGGTGATGAGCCTGTCACATCATGAGTGCCACAATTCAGTTTCAGGCAGACATATTTCATACTAGCAGGTCTCTCTGCCTGGATATTGGTAAGCACTTTTCATCTAGTCACCAAAGATTTATTTTTATTGCTTTGATTTGTAAAATCCTACAAGTTGTTGCTTATTACCCTATATTAGATACTGAGTAATACAATTCTTGCCATATTTGTCTGAATTCATCTAAATTTCTCTCTATTCATGTACAAATATCATCCATCCTTAAGTTTTAGAAATGTGTGTAATTATAGATCAATACATAAAGTATTATTCTATAACATTTTTAAATTAAATTAATGTCTTTCAACTCTAAATTTATTCATAGAATCAATTCATTTATAACAGAACCTAATAAAAACAAAATACAAATTTATAATGAATGAAACAAATCTGAAAACTATTTACCCATGAGAAAAAACTCTGAATAAACTTTCACACAACTGCTGCACTTCTTTTTTATCTGTTTGAAGTTTTTGATCTACAAGTAAGTCACTTGCTACATTTTGCACCTGTTAAAAGAAAAAAACAATCATTACAAGTATCCAAAAATTAATAATTGATGTATAACTATAATCTTTAAAATGAAACAGTTAAAGAGTAATAGCATAAATTTACAAAATTTATGCTATTACTCTTCTTAAAAAATTCTTAAAAAAGACAATACAAAAATGGGTCTTCTCACTTGTCCTTTCATATGCACATGAGGAAAATAAAGATCTACAGTGGAGTCGACCTTACATTTGAGACTACTCGTCTGCCTCAATATGTGAAAACATTAAAAGATCCCTCTAGCAATGGCACAATATTAAAAAATAAATATATTTGATAAAGAATTGCCGGGATAATAATTTTTAATTTATTTTTCTTGTGTGCAAGTGAAAGAACAAATGAGAAGAGACATTTTTGTGTTATCTTTAAGAATTTTCCTAAATTTTGTAAATTTAAAAATTATTGTCTTGACAATTCGTTATTAAAAGTAATAGCATAGTTTATTATTGTTATAGCAAAACATTTGTGTGTGGTACTCCCATTCCACATTCATTTTTCCCCCTCTTCTTTTCTTTCTCCATCCTGAGCTGTTACTATGCTTCATTTCAACACTATTGCAAGAGGTAATAACAGTCTCAGTTTGCCAGGTATGTGTCCAAAGAAGGTCAACCAGGCCATCTTCGTGGAGCACTCTGATTGAGAAAAAGATGTTTGTGATGTGTAAAAAGAATATAAGAACATATTAACTGAGGGAATGACATCTTTCATTTTTCTTCTTGATGGACTTCATTTCATCTGGAGTGACCATCAAGCTGAAGGAGGAGATTGCCAAACAAAGAAGGTGAGCACATTTACTGAAAACAAAGAGAAGGACTCTCGTTGGAAGTAAGGTGCCAAAAATATGCTGATCTAATTCATACTTTGCACTGTAAACACTACCTTGGACTTTCCTTCCTNATATTTCAATGAAATTTACAGTAATTAAAAAATTTAATAATCATTTAAAATTTTTGGAAAGTATAAAAAAATTTAAAAATTGACAAAAGAATATTGTTCATAAAGCACCAAAATATAAAAATTTACATTAGGCAATTTTTTACATCTTATTTGCAAACACAGGTTGTCCAAAGAGTTACTAGGCAATGAGAAATTTGTAATGAAAGTTATATGTACGGTCTTGCATATGAGACCTGTTAGTTGTACTGTACATGGTGCATTTCCACTTTGTGATAGATGGCAATGCTGCTCACTCACTGATGTTCTGGTTTTTAAAAGACTTCTTTGCTAATTGCATAATGTCCCGTGGAATCTGGCCCATTAAGTCTCTGGACCTCACTCTCCCAAATTTGAACTTCTGGGAGACATTTCTGACATTTGCCGTAGGAGAAACTGCAATATCATATGTAAAACTTCACTTTTTTAATTAAAACTTTACTTCAATTTTTTCCACTGCACAGTAACTTTTCAGAACCCTGTTCAACAAATTGCAGTTGTTTTATCACAGTTTAGATTAATATATGCTTAAAAATCTTTAGTAGTTAGAAATCTACAATAGATTTCTAACTACTAATTAAGAAATCTTTATATAACTCAATTCCTATTAAAGACTAAAATTATCCAAAAATATAACTAAAAATTCACAAAATAGTAAATGAATATAACATTTTCTGCAAATCATTTTTTATACACATAATTATTGTATATTGTATTATTGTACATTATTATTTTTTTGAAGTGCATATTAGTAATTATATTTAATATACTTATTCACAAAAAAATTTTAAATATAATATATATATCCAAAACTTAAGGACAAATACAATTGCTAGAATGATGAGCTTGGTGATGACCTGGTGATGAGCCTGTCACATCATGAGTGCCACAATTCAGTTTCAGGCAGACATATTTCATACTAGCAGGTCTCTCTGCCTGGATATTGGTAAGCACTTTTCATCTAGTCACCAAAGATTTATTTTTATTGCTTTGATTTGTAAAATCCTACAAGTTGTTGCTTATTACCCTATATTAGATACTGAGTAATACAATTCTTGCCATATTTGTCTGAATTCATCTAAATTTCTCTCTATTCATGTACAAATATCATCCATCCTTAAGTTTTAGAAATGTGTGTAATTATAGATCAATACATAAAGTATTATTCTATAACATTTTTAAATTAAATTAATGTCTTTCAACTCTAAATTTATTCATAGAATCAATTCATTTATAACAGAACCTAATAAAAACAAAATACAAATTTATAATGAATGAAACAAATCTGAAAACTATTTACCCATGAGAAAAAACTCTGAATAAACTTTCACACAACTGCTGCACTTCTTTTTTATCTGTTTGAAGTTTTTGATCTACAAGTAAGTCACTTGCTACATTTTGCACCTGTTAAAAGAAAAAAACAATCATTACAAGTATCCAAAAATTAATAATTGATGTATAACTATAATCTTTAAAATGAAACAGTTAAAGAGTAATAGCATAAATTTACAAAATTTATGCTATTACTCTTCTTAAAAAATTCTTAAAAAAGACAATACAAAAATGGGTCTTCTCACTTGTCCTTTCATATGCACATGAGGAAAATAAAGTTCTACAGTGGAGTCGACCTTACATTTGAGACTACTCGTCTGCCTCAATATGTGAAAACATTAAAAGATCCCTCTAGCAATGGCACAATATTAAAAAATAAATATATTTGATAAAGAATTGCCGGGATAATAATTTTTAATTTATTTTTCTTGTGTGCAAGTGAAAGAACAAATGAGAAGAGACATTTTTGTGTTATCTTTAAGAATTTTCCTAAATTTTGTAAATTTAAAAATTATTGTCTTGACAATTCGTTATTAAAAGTAATAGCATAGTTTATTATTGTTATAGCAAAACATTTGTGTGTGGTACTCCCATTCCACATTCATTTTTCCCCCTGTTCTTTTCTTTCTCCATCCTGAGCTGTTACTATGCTTCATTTCAACACTATTGCAAGAGGTAATAACAGTCTCAGTTTGCCAGGTATGTGTCCAAAGAAGGTCAACCAGGCCATCTTCGTGGAGCACTCTGATTGAGAAAAAGATGTTTGTGATGTGTAAAAAGAATATAAGAACATATTAACTGAGGGAATGACATCTTTCATTTTTCTTCTTGATGGACTTCATTTCATCTGGAGTGACCATCAAGCTGAAGGAGGAGATTGCCAAACAAAGAAGGTGAGCACATTTACTGAAAACAAAGAGAAGGACTCTCGTTGGAAGTAAGGTGCCAAAAATATGCTGATCTAATTCATACTTTGCACTGTAAACACTACCTTGGACTTTCCTTCCTGTTGAAATTAAGGAGTAAAAATTCATCTTGTGTATAAGGATTCATCTATGGAAGATTGAGTGTTTATACAATGCTGCAAAAGCAATATATAGAGTGTAATACCAAAACACAAATAGTGAACAAATACAATTAATACACTTTATTTACACAGAACAAAACAAGTATCACAGGATCTTTTGTTGGGATCCCAATTAAGGTTGGATACCAGTGAATTTTCCCCACGTCAGGAGTGCAGGTGGTTACAGATCATACAAAAGAAAAATGTTTTGCACATAACAGAAGTAATCCAAATTTAATACCTTAAAACTACCTTACAATCTAAGTAAGAGGAAAGTAGAATACAGAAATTAGAAGGATAGAAATAGAAAAACAATCATAAAAATACCCAGGATTTTGTCAGGATACTGTTCCTTGCGAGAATTATTCTAGCTTTATGATTTTCCGTCTTTCGTCACAAATATAGTTCCGTTGCTTATCCAACTTTGTAATGATCGAAAGTCTCTTGTTCGGAAAGGAGCGTTAATAAAATTTATATCCTGTAAAGCTACACAGTATTCACCAAAGCTTAACCTTTTTGCTCTTCCATTCTTTCCTCCTCAGACTGTGAGGACCTGCGTGCGTCTTCTCCAAAATCAAGCTTAAAAATGACCAGTTTGCCTTCCCCTTTGGGCTCATTGCTGTTCTCTCTATTGTTCTCAACATTTCTTGGAACAGACCCCCCATGTTGACAAAAGAAGGATTAAAAAGGGATACGAAGTTCTAGAAAGGGAAGACAAGAACAAAGGAAAGATGTTGAGAATTAAAATAATCAAAACACGTAAATTTTAAATAATTAATAAGACAAGCAGCCAAGTTGAATTTGTATATTTAGCATTTTAATATTGATAATGTTGGAAATTGTATGTACAGTAGTATTTTATTTTATTGATATTGTATGGATTTTTATGTATATTTAGCATTCTAGTTTATTGACATTTGTCAGGGGTTTTATTATGTAAGTGTGTATATGTTATGAACTAAGTGATTAATATGGGCATTATGAATGACGACAAACAAAATCGGGCACTAATAAATTTCAGGTGTTTTAATATAATTTATCAAATTGACCAGTCATTTTGAATACTGCTATCATCTAGTCAGGCAAAGTGATGATAATAGATTGAGGAGTGATCATCCAACATACACTAGCTGATCAGCACTTGCATCTGAGTTGAGCATGCATATTGCGTTTAGTACCGAATTTTAAATTTATTCAACCAGTAGTTAATCTTGTGCAACATTTTAATTTTACTTTTGTCTCTTAAAATAGTATTTTCTTCTTTGACAAAAGCAATGATCATGGAGCAATCATTAAGTGATATGAATAATCGCTTCAACAACCGATTAAACAAGTTAATTGCAGAAAAAAGTCAGAACAATCAAATTTTTACAAAATCAGCATATTTGTCAATGATACAAAAAGTGAAAGAGTCAAAAATGAAAGTTAATTTTAAATTACCAGAAGAATATCAGCATTTATGTATATATGACGTATCTATCGAAAATTTAGAAAAATTACTTATGACTAAAAGAAAGTAATGTGATTAAATATTATGTTCAAACTGAAGAAATATTTCAGCTATTGAACAAGGACCATATTGCTATTGGACATGGCGGTAGAAACAGTATGGAAAAAGAATTAAATATGAAATATAAAAATATTACAAGAAAGGTGATCATAATTTATTTGAACTTATGTGAAATCTGTCAGACAAAACAGAATGTTCCTAAGAAACGCTTGATAGTTAAACAAATTTTATGTAGGCCTAATGAAATGAATTCGAGATGTCAGGTTGATCTTATAGATACGTAGCTGCAAGCCGATGAGCAATATAAATTTATACTCGTGAATCAAGACCATTTAACTAAATTCATTCAACTATGACTGTTAAAAACCAACAGGACTGGTGAATGAAGAAGAAAAAATCCAAACAGTTGATCCAAAAATAGAAGAAAAAATAAAAAGTGTGTCTAAAACAAGGAAAATGGCTATGTTTAATCTTTTTTAAGATGCAAGCAGAAAAGTGATTGATACATCAAATTCCAAATACACAGCAGCTAATGTTGGTGATTCAGTAAGGATTCATGTACCAGATTTAGTCCGCAGTGATGGAAAAAATATTTTAGGTGTAGTTGTTGCGATTAAAGATAAAAATCTTTACAAACTGGTTACCAAACATGGCATATTAAATCTATTATATTCCAGAAATCAATTCACTGCTTGTAAAGAAAACTATCTCTGTTGGAAATATACCATGCGCAGAAATTTCACTTAGAGAATGTGCAAGAATGTCATCAATTTCAGGAGGCCAAGGCCTATGCTGCTGCAAAATTGGTTGAAAATCTAATAGATGCAAATGCTACAAAGAAAAAAAGTTATGTAATTCCAAATGTCATCAAAATCTTAACTGCTCGAATAAATAAACTAAAAAACATTTAATGTAAATATATAAAATTACATGTCCTGACTGACTGACTCATCATTGCCCAGAGCAAACTGCTGAACCTAAAGAGGTGAAATTTCATACACAGTTAGGATAAGTCATGAAAATGCACACTAAGAAGGGATTTTTCGAAATTCCCCATGGGGGGAGCGGGAGAGGATTAAGGCTTAAAAAGTCTCAGTCCTAAAAGGCAGTACAGTAATACCCCGAACTTACGTGATAGGTGGGACCGAGCGATAACCGCGTAAGTTGAATTCGCGTAAGTCAAGGTATAATTTCCCAATTTGTGTAAAATCCAAGTCAGATGTATGTAAGCTAATAAATGTTCTCGTTAATCTTATCTCGTCTTTTGATTCGTTCGCGGTTACAAGAAATCATCACATAGAGTCTCTCAAGTCTCCGTAGATATAACAAACACAGAAATAAATAACACAAAATAAATTGTAGCTATGTGTTGATTCCACGCGACACGTCCTAACATGTAAGCCGAACAACAGTGTGGAGGGAGTGCGTAATCGAGAGTTGCGTGGCACTCAAACAAAAGACAAATCGACGAGATTTGAAAATCACGTAACTCCGGGTGCGCATAAGTCGGGGTAGCGTAAGTCGAGGTATTACTGTACTACAAATGTGGTTTACAAAGAGATACTGGGGTAACTGAAACTCTATTTTTCAGTAAATATTTATACTTTAGAAATTTTCAGATAATGTAATTTATATTTCAAATAAAAAAAAATTGAACTCAGATTTATTGTATCTCAGAATCCCATAATATTTGAAATTTGAATTTAGATGCATTAGCAGTCCATAATTTGAAACAAACAAAAATCAGTAATTTTACCAAATTAGTAACAACTAATGATCAAGAATCTTAGTGAAGTACCAAGGGAGGGTTATTTCTATCAAATTGCAAAATCTGCATGGGCAAAGCCATGGGTAACAGCTAGTTTTTTATATAATTTATACCAAAAATGAAATTCCAGAAGTTTCCTGTAAGTTGATTTTTTGATGGACGTATAAATTTGTTAATACAGTAGAGCCTCGAAAACTCAGCACTCGATAACCCGACACTCCGGATAACTCGGCCACACCCTGGCAGGGCAAAAAAATCCTTAGTTAATTAATTTTCATTATAGACAGCTTTATGCCTCATAAAGTATTATTCTGGGGTCTGTCTTATCAGGTAAATTACTGTACATAAAAATGAAAATTAATGAATACACTATGTAGTAAAGGCTCTATGCCTTCATAAAGGTCATACTTTTCCTTTGTTTAAGGGTATTTGGGCAGTTTATTCTCTGTTGTATTTTCAAGTAAACAATACATACAAATACAGTACAGTATTTGTACTGTACAGTATTTTCTGAGGAAACACTCATACCTAGTTTTTTTAACCCCATTCCCGATAACCCGGCATTTTCACAAACTCGGCCACCCTTTGGTCCACATTAGGCCGAGTTTGAGGCTCTACTGTAATACTTTTCATTAATATTAGTTTAATTAATACAGTTAATAGTATTAATAGTACTTACTTTTAAAAGATTACATGTTCTTTTTAAAATACTTTGAAATAATTCACAA